AGGGATGAAGGGAAGGAGAGGGAATGAAGGGGAAGAAAGAAGGTGGAGAGGGAAGGAAAGAAGAAAAGGAGAGAGGGATGAAAGGAAGGAGAGGGAATAAAGGGGAAAAAGAAGGGAGGGAGGAAAGGAAGGGAAGGAAAAGAAATGGAGAGAGGGTTGAAGGGAAAGAGAGGGAATGAAGGGGAAGAAAGAAGGGAGGGAAGGAAGGAAGGGAAAAACGGAGGAAGGAAGGACGGGAAGGGAAGAAGAAATGGAGAGAGGGATGAAGGGAAGGAGAGAGAAGGAAGAGGAAGAAAGAAGGGAGGGAAGGAAGGAAGAGAAAAACAGAGGAAGGAAGGACGGGAAGGGAAGAAGAAATGGAGAGAGGGATGAAGGGAAGGAGAGGGAGTGAAGGGGAAGAAAGAAGGGAGGAAATGAGGAAGGAAGGGAAGGAAATATTTAACATAGATTGCATCTAAACAGGTTTTTTTTTCCTTTTCGCTAAATTAAGTTCAGGAGGGGAAGCCTCCATTTCTATAGGCTCAAAAGACGCTGTTGCTTTTTAGCCAGACCAAGGCAAACGGTCGGAGCAGCCACAGATGAGAAACGGCTGATCTCAGCCAGTCGGAATGAGAGAGCAGGAACTCACCAGCGTTACACCCCATCTGTGTGATGACTACCTCACTGATGGCATGAATGACGCACGGGCTGATCGGACCAGCTTCCATCCTCCCACCTTTTGCAAGGACATTATTATTATATAGGGTTTCCTGCCTGAGCAAGGGGCTGGACTAGAAGACCTCCAAAGTCCCTTCCAATTCTGTTATTCTGTCAGATATTGGGGAGAAATGTTGGGATGTCACAATGTATAGAGGGAATATTTGACCAGGCAATGGGGGGAAAGAGGTGAGAATCCCCTCCTTCCTTCCTTTTCTCCTTCCTCTCCTTCCGTCTTTCCTTCCCCTCTTCCTCCTCACCTTCCTTCCTTCCTTCCTTCCCCCCATTCCCCTTTCCCTTTCTGCTTCCCTTTTTCTCCATCCATCCCCTCATGTGCCATTTCCAAAAATTTAGTTTTTAACTATCAACAAGAAATGTTGCCCTTCTAAAGAAAAGCGGAGAGAATATTTACAGAGTCAATTCTGCCACGGGAAAAGAAGACTCTGCCAACAGCCCTTTCTGCAAACTATTGAAGGATCGCCTCCTCCTCTTCTTCTTTCTCCTTGTTTTTCTTCTTCTTCCTCCTCCTCCTCCTCCTTTTCTTCTTTCCTCTTTCTTCATAGCTCCACTCTGAAAGGCTCCTGAATCCCAAAGGGTTGCTAACTTAGTCACTGAATTCTGGAGCTGCCAATAAAATCTCTGATGCTTGAAGAATGGAATCCAGAAGGGAAAGAAAAGGTATTCAGCTGATCTGTCGACTTCTAAACGAAGCCAGGTTTGATTTCAAGGCAGACCAGGATGTAGACGAAGTACGAGGGCCGCCTTTCTACCAGAGGAAAAGGCCACGGGGAGAACTCTGTGCACCCACTGGGAAAGTAATAAAGTGCTTGTTTCTAAGTCATCACGATCACAATCTCACTTGGCAGGCAGGAAGCCCCCATGAAATGAAGGAAAGTAAAATAAATAGGCTTTGGAGATGCCACGTTTTCACATGTGCACACTGAGAGCCTGATTTGGCAGGAAAGAAAGAAAGAAAGAGAGAGAGAGAGAGAGAGAGAGAGAGAGAGAGAGAAGGAATGGGGAAGGAAGGAAGGGACAAGGAAAGAAAGAAATGGAGGAAGGAAAAAAAGGAAAGGAGAGGAAGGAAAGAAAGAAAGAGAAAGTAGGAAAGAAGAGAAAGGAAGGAAGGAAAGAAAGAACGCGAGGGAGGGAGGGAGGAAAGGAAAGAATGAAAGAAAGAAAAGAAAGGTGGAAGGAAGGGAAAGAAGGAAGAAAAGAAGGAAAGGAAAGAATGAAAGAAAAGAAAGGTGGAAGGAAGGAAAAGAAGGAAGAAAAGAAGGAAAGGAAGGAAT